TGTCTTTGCAAGGAAAGGGCAGAAATGGCACCATGAGGTCCGTCACCACCCCAAATATTTTACCCCCTACCTTCCCCTCCAGCTGTGGGAACAGTTTCATGACCACTGACATAGAGGCTTCCACAAAGGAGTTTTTGAAGGTCTCATAGTCACTGCCCCGCTTTCCCTGCAGCTCCGCCTGCCACTCCTCAAACCACTCGTAGGCGCTGGGTATGAGCATGGTCATGCTGGACCGGCCTGGGGGTCAGAGCTGACATTACTACTGTCCGGCCCTTCCCTCCAGTCCCTCACCCGGGACCCGCAGCCCCACCTGGGAATCGGTCCTCCCAGGTCGGATCCTTGGCTGATGGGAAAGCGATGAACAGAAGAGGGATGTGTTCCGCAGCCTTTTGCCTGGGCATGGAGACGTAGCGCTCCATCCTGCGTGTGACAGGAGTGTGGTGCGATCTCCAGGCTTTTGTCCTCAAAACCCCAGAACCACTGCAAGGACTGCTCAGCCCTAGGGACTCCCCACAGGGGTGAAGCTGAGCCACAGCCTTGAGGTGACAAACTTCCAGGAGCAAATTAGATATTGCCCATTTCCTCCCATTCCATATCCTCTGCTCATTCTGAGTCAAGCAGGGAGGCACAGGCCACACATACACACACACACACACACACACACAGACACGTGCATCTTACGCCTGGTCCATGTCCGTGTCATAGTAAACATAGTAGTTGGTGGACGGCAGATGCAGGTCCTCCTTGGTGCCTTGCAGGCAGATGAAAACAGACATCATGCCTAAGCCAGGCCGCACCATCCCCAGCTGCTGCTTCACACCTGCCAAGGGGAGTGGGTGGTGCCTGTGTGAACTATGACCAGAGATGGCCACTCCCTGCTCCTAGGAGAGCTTCAGGGTGCCCGCTCACTGTGTCCTGAGCCTTATCCTCAGTGCCCAGGCCAGTTTTACAGCTGTTTCAACTTGACGTTGGCAGGGGCCTGCTCTTCTGTCTCCTCCTGCCTGGGAAGGACACTGCCCTGGGTTCCTATTCTTCCACCTCCCCCGCCTCTACTCCAAGCCCCTTCAGAGGCAGGCGACGCCCAGCCCTGGTCCTCAGCCCCCATGAACTGGCTCAGCACCCGCAGGAGGGTTAGGCTTACTGCCTCCCATCTTCCCCTTCGTGTCTTGAAGTGGGAAGCGCGTGACTGGGCTCCCTCTATGAAGACCACACACGTGAACAGCAGCTCATTACCAGCCTGATTTCAGGATTAACTTTTATGCAGCCATGGAGTGAGTGAACATGCATGATTCCTAGTGTGATGTCAGAACACATAGGCCTCCAGAGGGATGCCATGCATGTGAGCAAAGGCAGGCAGCCTGACTGGTACTTGGCATCTCAGGACTCAGCTGGAGGGAGGAGGGAAGAACCGCACTATGGCAGAGGCCGCAGCCACTGTGGGGCACCTGATGTCCCCCAGACCTAAACAGCTGGGCTTCCCCACTCCTCAGCAGATGACCCGAGACCGGTGTTCCAGAAACTGCCCCCACAGATTCTTCTGCTGTCTTCCCATTCCCGGGACCAGCTCTGGCACCTGCCTGAGGGATGCTGGGCCCCTGGCTCCTCTGCTTTTTCCTTTTTTAAAAAATATTTATTTTTAGATGGAGTCTTGCTCGTCGCCCAGGCTGGAGTGCAATTGCGTGATCCCTGCTCACTGCAACCTCCGCCTCCCAGGCTCAAGCGATTCTCCTGCCTCAGCTTCCCGAGTAGCTGGGATTACAGGCACGTACCACCACACCCACTAATGTTTGTATTTTCAGTAGAGATGGAGTTTCACCACATTGGCCAGGCTATTTTCGAACTCCTGACCTCAAGTGATCTGCCCGCCGTGGCCTCCCAAAGTGCTGGGATTGAAGGCATGAGTCACTGCGCCCGGCCTGCTTCATTCGTGTAACTAAATATTTGTGAGGCCCTCAGGTTCTATTCAGGAGGAAGAGACACAGGAACAGGGATGGAGGGCAAGAGGGACAGATGGCTCTAGCTGGGCTGCCTGGGTAAGATGCTGGGCCTGGCCAGGACAGTGTCAGTGCCCAGAGGTCCTGGGACAGGGGAGAAGGGAGATCAGTGTCACAGAGAGAAAGGCAGGAAGTAACAAAGGCAGAGCCTGTCTGTGCACCATGCCCAACCCCCCTGCTTTGCCCCTGGGCTGTCTCTGCCTCACCCCCTCAGCTCCCCAGGTCTGAGAGAGGGGAGGCCGTGCAGGCTGTAGGCCCAGCCACGTGGGGCAAGGGAAAGAGAGGCTGGCATTGGTGGAGCCACCCTATGCCCTGGAGACAATCACAACTCACATACCACCCAGTCCCCATGAGGAAGGCCAGGACCTCGCTTTACCCCCCAGCCCGCTCTGCTGTGCCCTTCCCCGGTTCCTTAGGGAGCAGCTCCCAGGCCCACCCTCTGGGGTCAGGGCTCCTTCCCCTGCTCTCTGGCTCCTGCACCAGCCAAGGTTTCCGCCACACCACATCCGGAGCTGCTCTGTGCTCTCCAGCTCCCGCCCCAGCCTGAGCCCTTCATCTGGGCCCCTCTCTCTCACCCCTGCTGGGTTCCTAGTTCGCCCTTCCCAGCAGCCTCCGTTCCCCAGATCACACCAGATGCATCCAGTTACATGAAGTGGCGGGACCTCTCAGCCGCGGTGGCTCGGTGGCTCTGCTCCCTGTGGGCTGCCTGCTCTCCTGCTTCTCCTCCTGAGGCTTCTTCTCTGGAAGCCCCCTCAACCCAGAAGGGTGAGAGGAGCTGGAGCTTTCAAATCAGATCAGCTACTCCACTCAGCCCTGCCCCTTTCAGCTGAGTGGGCTCAGGACTGTAATTAATCTGTATGGGCCTCAGTTTCCCCAACGTTCAATGCTAGGGTTAGGATGATGTTAGAAGCAGCGTTCTCACCTTGTTGCTTAAGTACAATCAGAGGGCCGGCCAAGAAGAGGGGAAGCATGACCCAGACGGAGCAAGTTGGCTCCAGAAGGGGACACGTTGGGGAACCTGCAAGAGGGGCAGTGCAGACCCGCCTTTTACCTGGCAGACAGCGGGCATTCCCCGGCAGTAGGTGCTCATAGGTGTTGAACAGCCCTGCGTTGGAGACCACGACGGGGCAATAGATGTTCACCAGCTCATGCCCCTTCCTCACACTGACATCTGCAGGCACAAGTGCTTGGCTGAGGGTCTGTGAGCTCCAGGACAAAGAGGAAGGCCCACGGCCCCCACGGATCTCTCTCTTACTGTGCCCATTGCTCAGAACTTGGAGTCCAGCTACCTAGACTCAGGCAGAGCAGGCCCCTGGGAAAATGCAAAGTGAGTGAATATCTTTAAGGGCTCTCAGACTATCCTATAACTGCTCTGGGCTTCCTTTCCCTGGCTCTGCATCCATTCCTGTGTGTGTATGGACTCTGTCTTTCCTTTACCCAAAGCCTTGGAGAAACTTCAAGGGTTGAAGCCCATCTGATAGAAATCCAGGCCTTTCTCTGCTGTCAGAGTTCCTTTTCAAAGAAACAGTCAGGGGCTGAATAACTGCTTATGTTCAACAAGGTACTGCATATACAAGGGTGGTCCCCTCAGATTATAATGGAGCTGAAAAATTCTTACTGCCTAGTAATACTACAGCCATCCTAAGGCAATGCACAGTGTCACACATGTTTGTGGTGATGTTGGTGAAAACAAACTCACTGCACTGCCAGTGATATAAAGAAGTCTATCACACAGAATTATGTGCAGTAAATAGTACTTTTTTTTTTTTTTTTTTTTTTTTGAGACAGAGTCTCACTCTTGTCTCTCAGGCTGGAGTGCAATAGCACGATCTTGGCTCACTGTAACCTCCATCTCCCAGCTTCAAGTGATTCTCTGCCCTCAGCCTCCCGAGTAGCTGGGGCTACAGGCAAGTTTTGTATTTTTAGTAGAGAAGGTTTCACCATGTTGGCCAGGCTGGTCTCGAACTCCTACCCTCAGGTGATCCGCCTGCCTCGGCCTCCCAGTGTGCTGGGATTACAGGCGTGAGCCACTGCGCCGGCCTATAGTACTTTTTAATGAAGGAAATGACTGTGTTACTGGTTTATGTATTTGCTATACTTTTATTGTTTTAAACAAAAAAGTTTAAGGAGTAAAAAAAAGTTTTTGTTTTTGTTTTCTTTGAGAGGGAGTCTCGCACTGCTGCCCAGAGTGGTGTGCAGTGGTGTGATCTCAGCCCACTGCAACCTCCACCCCCGGGTTCAAGAGAGTCTCCTGCCTCAGCCTCCCTAGTAGCTGGGATTACAGGCGCCCATCACCATGTCCGGCTAATTTTTATATTTTTAGTAGAGTTGGGGTTTCAAGGTCATGGTCTCAAACTCTTGACCTCAGGTGATCTGCGCAAGTCGGCCTCCCAAAATGCTGGGATTAACGGGCGTAAGCCACTCCACTCAGCCCCCAAAAGACTTTAATTAGAAAAAAGCTCACAGAATAAGGATATAAAGAAAATATTTTTGTGCAGCTGTACAATGTATTTGTGTTTTAAGCTAAGTGTTATTACAAGAGTCAAAAAGTGTTTAAGTTGATAAAGTAAAAAAGTTAAACTAAGGTTAATTTATTCTTGAAGAAAAATAATTCTGTATAAACCTAGTATTGCCTAAGTGTACAGCATCACGGTCACTCATCACTCACTGACACACCCAGAGCAGCTCCCAGTCCCGCACGCTCCATGCCTGGGAAATGCCCTATACAGCTCTGCCATCTTTTATCTTTTTTTTTCTAAGACAGAGTTTTGATCTTGTTGCTCAGGCTGGAGAGCAATGGTGCGATCTTGGCTCACTGCAACCTCTGCCTCCTGGGTTCAAGCGATTCTCCTGCCTCAGCCTCCCGAGTAGCTGGGATTACAGGCGCCCGCCACCACGCCGTTAATTCTTGTATTTTTAGTAGAGACGGGGTTTCTTCATGTTGGCCAGGCTGGTCTCGAACTCCCCATCTGAGGTGATCTGCCTGCCTTGGCCTCCCAAAGTGCTGGGATTACAGGTGTGAGCTACCGCAACGCTCACCACTGTGTCACAGTCACCTACAGTATTCACTACAGTAGCATGCTGTACAGGCTTGTACCCTAGGAGCAATAGGCTAGACCACATAGCCTAGGTGTGTATACCATCTGGATTTTTTTCTTTTCTTTTCTTTTCTTTTTTTGAGACGGAGTCTTGCTCTGTCACCCAGGCTGGAGTGCAGTGGCGTGATCTCCACTCACTGCAAGCTCCGCTTCCTAGGTTCACGCCATTCTCCTGCCTCAGCCTCCCGTGTAGCTGGGACTACAGGCGCCCACCACCGCGCCCGGCTAATTTTTTTTGTATTTTTAGTAGAGACGGGGTTTCACCGTGTTAGCCAGGATGGTCTCGATCTCCTGACCTCGTGATCTGCCAGTCTCAGCCTCCCAAAGTGCTGGGATTACAGGCTTGAGCCACCGCGCCTGGCCCCCCATCTGGGTTTTTCTAACTACATTCTATGACGTTCGCACAGTGCAATTGCCCAACGACGCATTTGTGAGAACGTTGTCTCAGTTGCTAAGCGATGCATGACTGTATATGAAATGTCTAGAATAGACAAGTTCGGAGACGGAAAGTAGATTAGCAGTTGCCTAGGGCTGGGGGAGATGGGCAAAATGTGGAGTGATTTTCAAAGGATATGGGGCTTCCTCTGGGGCGGACAAAATCTTTCTAAAATCGACTGTGGTGATAGGTGCGTAACTCTGAACATACAGCCGATGAATTGTCTACTTTTTTTTTCTTTTCTGAGATGAAGTTTTGCTCTGTTGCCCAGGTTGGAGTGCAGTAGCGCCATCTCGGCTCACTGCAACCTCCGCCTCCCAGGTTCAAGTGATTCTCCTGTCTCAGCCTCCTGAGTAGCTGGGATAACAGGCACGCACCATCATGCCTGGCTAATTTTTGTATTTTTAGTAGAGACGGGATTTCGCCATGTTGGCCAGGCTGGTCTGAAACTCCTGACCTCAGGTGATCCACCCACCTCGGCCTCCCAAAGTGCTAGGATTACAGGAGTGAGCCACCACACCTGGCCTGAATTGTATACATTTTTTATTTGAGGCAGAGTCTTACTCTGTCGACAAGGCTGGAATGCAGTGGCACAATCATAGCTCACTGCAGCCTTGAACTCCTGGGCTCAAGCGATCCTCCTGCCTCAGCCTCCTGAGTAGCTGGGACTACAGGCTTGTGTGCCACCATCCCCAGCTAATTTTTTTCTTTTTTTTTTTTTTAAGAGATCAGGTCTTGCTATGTTGCCCAGGCTGGTCCTGAACTCCTGGCCCCGAGTCATCTTCCTGCCCCAGCCTCTCAAAGCATTGGGATTATAGGCAAGAGCGGCTCTGCCCAGTTGAACTGTATACTTTAAATGGGTGAAGTGTAACTTTAAATGGCTGAAGTATGTCTCCATAAAGCTGTTACAAAAAAATTAATTGTGGTGCTAGATACTATGGAAAGTGTCCAAAAGATGCTTCCTGACATCTTGGCAATTACAAGTCAAATGGGTGATAGAAGCATAAGCTGAATGTCTTCCAGGTGGCAAATTCATTGAAATTAACTGTAAACATGATTCCCCCCTTTGCAGCTCAGTCACAGACACTGACTGGCCTGTGTACATTGGAGACAGGAAGCTGGGCTCAGGTTTTCTGAGGGTGTCAGGCATGCCTTACATTCCCCTGTGGCAAGTGGCGATCTTCCTTTGCATATATGCGAAAGTCTAACACAGGGTTTGGGAGTGAAACGGGTGGTTTGATTCAACAAAAGCACTAAAGAAACACTCAGAAAAGGTCTTGCAACTGCAATTTTATTTTCTTTTGTGAAAATAAACAACTGGGAATTTAAATTGCTCCAAAAACCATAAAAACAAAAAGAAATACACACAGAAGAAGCATGTGAGGTGATGGGGAAGGGAACAAGGTCTCTAGAACTTTGGCAGATTGTGCTGGCACGGACCCAGGTGACAGGAGCCAGACCATGGGGCCGGCCCTGCCTGCCACTCTGGGACTGTGAGGGGATGATCGCCACTGGCAAGGACAGGGAGGAACACAGACTTCTTCGCTGAGGAAGTGGCAGGCACCTTGAGTCCCTTTAAATGGGGGGGTTGGGGGGAAACCATTTCAGAGGACCCGCTTGCTCCACTGAAAGCTGGGGTTGGCGAGTTTGGGCCCACTGAGGGAGGGGATGCTGGTGGCAGCAAATCAGGCCAAGATGTCTTCTCACATGGTGATGGCCTCACACTGGGCAGAGGACAGAGGACGAAGAAGAACCCACGGTATTGAGCAGACGATGAAAACTTGGACTGGGTAACAGGAAATACCACAATGGCAGAGCTGCAGATGGAGTGGGGGGAAGCTGGGGCAGGCCGCGGGGGCGAGAAGAGACAGGAGACAGAAAGTGCGAGAGAGGTAGAGAGAGAGGCACCCTCTGCCCAGGTCCATCCACCACAGCACCTACGGGACGAACAGCACGCTACTTTTCAGTTCTTTTTCTTATAAAGATTTTTTTTTGTTGTTTTGTTTTGTTTTTTAAAAAAGCCTTAAGATCAGCTACTGGTTACATCTACAAACTGTAAAGTGCTGTTGTTACCAGCCACTTTACAGAACAGTCCAGAGTGGTCAAATATTGACCAATAAAGTCTCCTTTTTCTTTTTCTTCTGAATCATTACTACTCAATGAGTCATGTGACAGCCTGCAGGGGTCAGGGGGCAGCTTAGTGGGCAGACTTGGTGACCAGGGAAAGAGGCTGGGCCTGTAGCACCGGGAGGGCCTGGTGGGCATGGAGTGTGGCGGGAAAGGACGGGGGAGAGGCCAGCAGAGCTGTGGGCATGGACCCAAGGGGGAGGGGCCGGGACAGGAGGGGAGGCTGGCTGCCCATCTGGCCAGAGGAGGAGGCTGCAGCCTTAGCTGACAGGAAGGCAGCAGAGTGGAGAGCCAGCTGGGCCCGGGTTTCTGGTTTGGTGGTGAGGGAGAGGGGCTGGGCTTGCTCTGAATGGGTGGCAGCAGGGGCAGCTGGTGAGGCCAACGCTGCAGAGGGGGTGGCCGGGGAGTCCAGCATGCTCCCGTGGGAGGAGGCAGGGCTGTCACAGGGCTTCTCGGGGGGCAGGTACTGAACACATGGCTTCTTGCTCTTGGAGGCCAGAGCACCTAGGGGGAAAAATACAAGAAAGAGTGAGCAGCTATAGCTCTGGGAGAGGCGGAGGCTGAGGAACAGCCCTGGTGATACACGTGCTTTGGAGACACAGGCATGCTTTTGGCGAGGACCTGACATTACTTCCAAGGCTTTCAAGACTAGGAAACTGCATTCGCAAATACCCAGCGCACAGAGAAGAGGCAACGCCCAAACTGATGAAGATCCACCCAGCATCGGACTGGAGAGAAGACGGCTCAGTGTCTCACAGGACCACCCTCCCTTTCTAAAGCTCGCAACTTTTGGGATGAAGCTCCGGTTTGCTTTGAAATCTCTGGCTTATGGTATTAACACAGTCAGAGGGAGTGCATGCCTGCTGAGCAGCGTGCCAGACAGTGGGTTCCGCAGCACGCACGGGTCCCACTCATGTGCACTCCTATGTGTAATGGAAGGAAGGAAGGAAGGGAGGAGGGGAGGGAGGAAGGGAGGGAAGGAAATAGGGAGGCGGGGAAGGAGAAAGGGAGGGAGGGAGAAAGGGAGGGAAGGAAATAGGGAGGGAGGGAAGGAAATAGGGAGGCGGGGAAGGAGAAAGGGAGGGAGGGAGAAAGGGAGGGAAGGAAATAGGGAGGGAGGGAAGGAGAAAGGGAGGGAGGGAGAATGGGAGGGAGGCAGGGAGGGAGGAAGGGACGAAGGAAGGAGAGAGACTGAAAGCACTTTACATCATGCAAGCAGCGATACACTTGTCCTGGAGTAAGCATGAGATGGAGGTGTGACCTAAATATTAATAATAGTCGTCACAGTGTAAGCATCTTTCTGTGCTAGGCATGATTCTGGTATAAAGAGATTTTATACACGGTTTTGACACAAAGTGCCTCCTAAACCCAAGCAAACTATTTTTTCTGGTGTTCAACCAAAGAAACATCCAAGGAAACCCTGGCTGTCCTCGATCCACTGACAGATAGGATGTCAGGGGTTCATGTGCTGCTTTCCTAAGGGCATTTCAAAGACAATTTCAGCCTCATTCCATTAACCCTCAGGTAGGATGATTCACTTTTCAACGGAATTAAAAAGTGCCTAGGCTTTGAAGTGACAAAGTCCTGGGATCAAATCCTACCACCACCACTGAAGCAGAGTACCTGGGAAAATGCCTTCACATCTCAGAGCCTCTTAAGTGGCCACCTCGAGAAAGGGGTAGTAACACCTGCCCGCAAACACCGAGGCAGAAGCCCTGACCCGTCATGGAGCTAGAGACGGCACGGGCAGGTGAGGCTGTGACGGAAGGAAAAGCAGGAGAAGAGGCCAGTGCCCCCAGACGCACCCTCTGCCTCCTGGACTTGCTGCTGTGACTGTGTCTGGGACAGCTGCTTTTCTCTCTTCCTCTTCTTTTTCTTACCCTGGAAAATATAGCAAAAGGAAGAGTTAAGCCGGGAGAGAAGAATGCTGGCTTCTCAGGGGCTCCCAGATCAGAGAGAATACAGGACGTTGCCCTTTACTGCTCTTGATCCCTCAGGGAGGGTGTGGAGAGAGAAACGATTCAGATCACACCCGTGGGAACCCGCGAGGAGGCAGAGGGAGCCCTTCCTCCCCTACAAATGCATTTCCCCTCCAGGTTGGGTGTCCAACGCCTTCTTGGAAGGCCTCCTCCCTCCACTGCCCTTCAGACTCTGTTTTTCCATTTCTGTCCCTAGAACAGTGCTTCTTGATCTTTTCTGAGGGGTCCCAGGTCCCTTTGAAAGTTTGATGCAACTGTAGGTCCTCTTACCAGAAAAAAAGCAAAGAAGAACACGCATGCAAAAATTGGCTTGGTTTCCGGGAGCTCAGAGACACGCCCCCTGAGGATCACACACTGGTCTTTGAGCCATGGGTTAGGAGTGGCTAGAGACACTCTTCCCACCACAGCTAAACATGTGCCCTGTGTTATGAAATCGAGGGCAGAGTCCAGTTCAAAGGGAAATGCATAAACTGAAGTCTGTCCTTAGGACTTGTTGACTTCCTGAGAATTAAAACGTCTTCCCTATTTCTAGAGAAGTATGGGCTTCTCCCTCATCTTAAGAGTCCTCTACAAATGCAGTCGCTTTCCTTTGCCCTTCCTCCTCTTGCAGAGCTGCTGTTGGGGTCTGAGCATCCTCTGCCCAGAGCGTGCACTTACGTAGTTGTCCCGGGCTGACCAGGTCGGGTAGAGCTGCGAGTGAAGCTGCCGCTCCTTCCGGGCCAGCTCGTAGTACTTGGCCTGTTCTTCTCGAGACAGGTTGTGCCACTGGGGGAGAGAGGGTCAGAGACGACACGGAGCCATCAATGCAGGGATGCTGCCCCCGTGGCCTGGAGGGTGAGGGCAGGTCTTACCTTTCTTCCCAGGATCTGGTTAATGGCCGCACTTTCCTTCAGGGTGCACTCAGCCACCACCTTGGCTCTCATCTCCTTCATATATAACATGAAGGCATTCAGAGGCTTCTTCACATGGGGCTTCTTTTCTTCCTCCTTTTTCACGGTGACTGGTGATTTCCTGGGAAGGCACGTGATTGTAGGTTAGTATGTGTCAGATGTTACACGACTCATCAATCCCTGCCTGTCACTGAGACGCCGCTGACTGTCTCTGGGGAGGGGCGCGGGCTGCCTGGATGCTAATTCAAGTGGCCCCATGGCTGCGCTCGGCGCCTGAGCACCTTCCTCCCCTAGTTTCCCACCTTTGAATGATCTCCAAGCCAGATTCTTTGAAAATCTACTCTCTAATTTCCTGACAGAGGAACAGAGCGTGGTGGGGGTGCTGAGATGAGCTCTCACTGGAGCTGGCAGGTGCTGGCGACGGTGATAGGACACAGTGTGGGACACTCTGGGCAGAACCAAGGGTGGGGGTCTCCTGGGATCTCCAGGGAGCACTGACTTTGACTTCCTGCCATCTTTATGGCACATGGGCAAGGTAAGGACCCTGGTGCTCGTCTCAGCTAGGCCACCGGGCCACCATGAGTCCTTAAGAAAACACTGTCT